AAAATAATATATATAATATATATAAAATAATATATTACATAGGTTCTACTGGATACTCTTCATCGTACTCGGATTTGTGTTGCCTATTCACGCAGCTGTAGTATATTGGGATGAATCATATACAAATTCGTTTTTAATTATTGGCGCAGCGCGATTATTAATAACAACAAATATTTCTTGGCTAATAAATAGCGCCTTGCTGGTTTGGGGCCTGAAGAAAGGGAGCAAGTTAATATCTGTTTTTGATATTCTCTCTCGCTTTTTTGCAAATTATTCTTCGAACTGGCGAAGAATCATGATACCGTTCTTATAGATAAGGATGGTATACGTTATAAATAACATTTAACAGAATTTGAAAATATTTTGTCATAAACTCTAAAAAATTACACAAATAAAAAAATAATGTGTTTCCTCTCTCTTTAAGCTTAAATCATTATTGATTTTCTGGATGAAATTAAAATGTTCCATAATAAAAGTTGAAAAATATATAATAATTTTCATAAAAATTTTTAATTTTCTTATAAATTTTCAATTATATACTTATTAACTTAAAGTATTAATAAAATTCTATTATTATTATTAAGGTTAGAATCTTTTCTCGGTAAAAAATTTTTATGAATATGTATAAATATGTATAAACATACATAAACACATATGCATAAATATTTATAAACATGTATAATTATATGTGAAATATGTTCATATATATGCATAATTTTATAATTATACATAAATAATTTTTTTACATTTCTTCAAACTTGATTTTTTATAAAATAAATAGTGCGAAAATTACCTTTTTAATTATTTTTAATGTTTTCACGTTATTATTATTATTTCTATTATTCTAAAAAATAATTTTACAAAAGAAAAAAGGATTTGAATATGTATAGATTTTGTATATAACTATACATGTTTATGAATATTTATGCGTGTTTATGTATGTTTGTACATATTTATACATATTCATGCAAAATTTTTTACCGGGATATATTAAATATTATAAAATTCTCGTATTAGTTAGACTTCGATATATAACTATTTTTCTTTCTTCTTTTAACGGTGTACTGTATCTTCTTCATACGTATAATAGCGTAATCTTTGCATTGTCTATTGAGTTTATTTTCAATAATCTAACTTGTAGAATTGATGTTTTAGATTTCCAGTCGATGACAATTCTGTCTTTTTCCTGTCGAAGTCTTATTGGTTAAATTATCACTATATGCTACCATGGGACTGGAAAAGCGAAGAATTCGGTTCTTATGAAAGAGGACTTACCTCATTTATTCTCAAAATGTGGTACGAACTCGGTTTTATCAATCAACTGAAGACTACTACCTGCGATGATATACGAGAAGCTCTTTACAAAGTGGTCTCATCGGAGATGACACTAGATGAAGCTTTGGCGGAAGTAAAACAGAATGCAGAAGAAAACGCTTATAGAGAAATGCTGAAATATCATCATTAAAAAAATTAATTTATAAGAAAATAAATTAATGTATGTAATTTAATATATTATATATACAGGGTGTCTCGAAATTCGCAAATTGGAATATCATAGTAAGAAAGTTTTCAAAAAATTCAATAAAAAAATTGTTTGTGAAGTTTTATTTTAAGCAATAGTTTGTGAAATAATAAAAATTTGTGAATATGATCAATTATGGATTACATTTAAACGCTGAAATATGCATTTACTAATACTGCACGTACGATTCATGGGCAAGTAATCTAAACGTAGTCCACAATTGGTCATTTTTAAATTCTTATAAAAATTGCTTAAAATAAAAATTCACAAATAATTTTTTTACTTCATTTTTTGAAAATTTCTTTGTTATATTATTCCGTGTTCTGATTTGCGAATTTTAGGGAACATCCTCTATTATAATATACAATTAAT